AGTGGTTGAGCGTCTGCCTTTGGCTCAGGTCATGATCCCAAGATCCAGGAGGGAGTCCCACATCGGGCTCCCTGTGAAGAGCCTGCTTCTCCCTCTGACTCTCTCTCAGTCTGTGTCTTTCATGAATAAATAAATAAATCTTAAAAAAAAAAAAAGAAGAAGAAGAAGCAGCAGCAGCAGCAAGCTCCCTGGGGGAGCCCAGTGTGGGACTCGATCCCAGGACCCTGGGGTCATGACCTCAGGCAAAGGCAGTTGCTCAACCACTGAGCCACCCATGTGCCCTTCCTGGATATTTTCACACACATCAGGAAGGTTACCTGGGGCAAATGCCTCTCCAAAGCTGCTGTCTCCCTAACTGTTGACAATGATAATGATAAGTGTCCCAGGATTCTCCCAGGACTAAACAAGATGACAATGACATTCACAAAGATGCTCTGAACACTGCCTGGCATACAGTAATTCACTACCGCACTCCTTAGCGCCTTCCAGCTAGACGCCTTCTGTCAACTCCTACCTACTGAGGGAAAGTAGAAGGAATGAGTCCCACTTCTCCCCCTGGACCTTTCCTGGTGACCTCAATCCACAGGGTTCCTCTGCTGCCTCCCACGGTTTGGGTGCTAATTCTTTTGGCCGTTCTTTGGGGAAAGCTATGGATTCCTTACTACTTTTTAATTAAACACGTAACAAACAAATATTCTCTTTGTTTAAAAAAAGAAAAGGTAGGGGGACACCTGGGTGGCTCAGCGGCTGAGCGTCTGCCTTCCGCTCAGGTTGAGATGCTGGAGTCCTGGGATCGAGTCCCACATCGGGCTCCCTGCATGGAGCCTGCTTCTCCCTCTGCCTGTGTCTCTGCCTCTGTGTGTGTGTCTCTCACGAATAAATAAAATCTTTACAAAATAAATAAGTAAATAAAAATTCTCTTAAAAAGTAGAAGCAGGGATCCCTGGGTGGTCAGCGGTTTGGCACTTGCCTTAGGCCAAGGGCATGATCCTGGAGACCCAGGATTGAGTTCCACGTCGGGCTCCCTGCATGGAGCCTGCTTCTTCCTCTGCCTGTGTCTCTCCCTCTCTCTCATGAATAAATAAATAAAATATTTTTTTAAAAAGTAGAAGCATTACAGATAAAGTATGTCCTCCGTGGCCGCAGCCCGATGCTCCCCCTCTGCCCTGCCAGGCCGACATGTGCCCTTCCACCCCTTCTCTGATTTTACCTGCACTAATAGTCACCCATTGAAAATACAGGTTATTGTTTTGTGACATTTGTTTAAAAAACATAAATAGTGGAAGGAGGGTAGGGGGATGGGGTGACTGGGTGACGGGCACTGAGGGGGGGCACTTGATGGGATGAGCACTGGGTGTTATACTGTGTGTTGGCAAATTAAATTTAAATCAAAAAATATTTTTTTAAAACCAAAAAAAAACCCCATAAATAGCACCTGAGTGTTTTTCAATTATTTACATGTTGTACAAACTGTCTGTGCTAACACATACACATCTAGTCCCTTCTTTCCAACGTCTGCCCAGCAATCCCCTAGACGAAGGGCCCCCACCTCACTTCCTGTGCGCCTGACTCAGGACTGTGGATCTGGCCTACCACCGCCACAAGCTGTATAAACCCCAGCAAGCTGTTCACCTTTGCTATGCCTCAGTTTCCTTACCTGTAGGAAAGAACAAAAGCATAGCTCAACCTATTTCTCAAGGCTGTGGTCAGATTCAAATAAGAAACTAGTCACACATGTAATCGCCTTTGTACTTTATAATCTTGCCAGCAGGCAAACTACAAATGACCCGTCTCGGAGCTGAAGGAAGAGGTGAAGTAACTGGCGTGAGGTCCCCAGCTAGCAAATGGCACAGCCAGGTCTGCAACCCTGGGCTCTGGAAACTGACACCAGTTTCAAAATGCATCACATCCCTACTCAATCCCATCGGCAACCTGAGAAATGTGAATCAAACCCAGCAGATTAACAACAACAACAAAAAATGATCACAATACAGCGTAATCTCCAATGATGGCAGAGATGTGGGGGAACTGGGTGTGTCACACTCTTGCTGGAGGTATGAATGCTAGAGCTTTGCAAAAAGGCAATTGGGTGGGAACTGTCAAAATTCAAACCCATCCTACTTCGTGGTCTAGAGGTTTCTATTCTGGAAATCTACCCTATGCAAAGCATTCATATACAAACCCAGAGAGGTGTGTACCAGGACATTCACCAGTTGCTTGAGACAGAGACAATAACCAGTCGGTAGAGACACAGGGAGATAAGGAAGGGGATAGGAATACCATGCAGCAGTGAAAAAAGAAACATAATAGATTTATACATTCTGACATGGAAACATTTTCAAGAAATATCCATGAATTGAAAAGCAAATTACAGGGCAATCCGGTGGGGTGGGGGCGGGGGGGGGCTGGCGGCTCAGCAGTTTAGCGCCGCCTTTGGCCAGGGGCATGATCCTGGAGACCTGGGATCGAGTCCCACGTCGGGCTCCCTGCATGGAGCCTGCTTCTTCCTCTGCCTGTGTCTCTGCCTCTCTCTCTCTGTTTCTGTGTCTCTAATAAATAAATAAAATCTTAAAAAAAAAAAGCAAATTGCAGAATATTTATACATAGTTTAGCTCACTCAGTATATGCAAAAATATACAGTGATGTGTACAAATGTGTGCTCACGTCGTATGTATCAACAGAGGTCTAGAAAGATACACGCCAGTGCTGCTTCCGCAGCACATACAGAGAGATACACGCCAACGATAGTGGTATTATCTGAGAAAGGGAATAAAATGGAGGGAACATTTTTCCTTCCCTTTGAATTTTTTTTGCAAGCAAGAATTCATTTCTTCTATACGCGGACTTCTTTAGTTAACCAAAAAGCATTAAAAAAAAAATAGAAATTAAAGCACAAGGCCTCCCATTCAAGTTGCACATGGCCATGTACAGCCAAAGAAAACACCAACAGGCAGTCCCTCCCTCTCTTAGTGTCCCACCCACTCAGTCCCCTGAACACAGACATCCTTCTTCCACGGGAAGGCACTTGGCCGGGGCTCAGCCTGGGCTGCCCAAGAAGTGGCTGTCGTGGGCTGGGCTTGCCTTCCTGCCTTCACACCACTCAGACCCAAACCAATCATCTTTGGGATATTCACATAGGATGCTGGGTGGCTCTCACTCAACCTCAAGCCTGGAAATTCTAGCCCGAGCACAACTGACGATCCTGGCACTCTCCGCCTTGGAAGCCCAGAGTTAGAGTGGGGAATTCGGAGGTGCACCCTGACTGACATCCACGGAAAGAAATCACCCTGAAGCCCGTCCAAGGACGATGGGGCCGATGAGACTCTTCATCAACTTACAAAGCCCACCCACCCTCACACCCCCAAATAAAGAAGCTCTTTGCACAGGGTCATGATGGCTCCTTATGCTTATGCCACCTGGGTGACAGTGTCTCCAGGATGCACACCTCACAGAAACCACATCGTGGGCTTTCACTGAGATGGAGCTCCCACAGCTTTTCTGAAAAGCATAACCCCTTGGCCACCATGGGAGAGAAAAAGCAGTTCTAACACTCCAAGGTAACCCTACACTAGTTTTTCCTGCCATCCCCAGGGGCAAAATTAAAATAAAAAAAAAAATGAAGAGGAACTCAAGGTTCAGTGTCACCATCAGCCAGGACCTCCTTGGAATCAGACTACAGGGCTGAATGGGACAAGACTTGAAAACAAAAAACAAAATAAAACAAAAAGGACAAAGTGTGGTCAATATAACTCCGAGAGACCTTGAGAAAAGCCAGCCGTCACACCATGTTTAAAGCTGGCCAGGTCCCAGGGACACCTGGGTGGCTCAGTGGCTGAGCATCTGCCTTGGGATCAGGACGTGATCCTGCTTCTCCCTCTGCCTATGTCTCTGCCTCTCTCTGTGTGTCTGTCATGAATAAATAAATAAAATCTTTATTTAAAAAAAAAAAAAAAAAGATGGCCAGGTCCCAAGAAGGGGCAGCCAGATATAAGCAGATTGCAGTGTCCATTCATCCAGTGATTCATTCATTCCCAGGCATACTGTACTGGGCAGGAGGCACAGGCATGAAATATGGACAAGTCTCATTCTTAAGAAACCCACCTTCAAGAAGTAAGCTAAGGGGAAAAGAGAAGTCAACGAGCAAGTGACATTATCCATATCTTTATCCCACCCAGCTCAGTGTCTGGGCAAGGCAAGCCTCAGTTTCTCCTCCCCACACTGCTTGTGCTGACTCTGGCTACAGAGCTCTGAAACGCTGCGATCCTCTGCACTGCCCCTGGCCTTCCTTAACTCCAGCTCACTGAAGCAGGCTGTCCAGACACCCAGGGCAGAGTCTGATGGTCTGGGGCCAGCTAATTTGTCTCCATGGTTGAAAGGGCAATCGTGCCTAAGGCTGGGATCAGAGGAGAGCCTTCTGCTTATGCAGCCTTGAGCTTGTGCCTGCCTCCGTGTGAATCTAAGGAGAAAGCGGCTTATCCAGTTTCCAATCTGCATCAGGGAGGCCACGCTGGGGGAGCACTGAGCGCCCGGGCTCTGAGAAGGGCTTTCCGCGGGGAGGTTCGCCGACGGCAGGGTGCTCCAGTGAGCACCCTCCCACGGAGGCCCCGGCACCCATGTGAGTCTCACAGAAGCACATGAATGGAGGGCTCACAGGAAGCAAGGCAGAGTGCAGCCCCAATTTTAGTAGGCTCGGCCTCCGGGTGCCGCAGGAAGCAGCGGGGGCAGCGCCTGCTGCGGTCACACTCCGGGCCTGTGCTGGGCGCCGGGCTCCTGGCGGGGAAGTCGGGCTCCGGGTGGTCTCTTCTTCAGGCCTCCCCGACGCCGGCCTGCGCGCCTCTCCCGCCTGCAGGAAAGGCCGGTGCCGCCGCCTGGGTCGGGGGGGTCCTCGCGGGGCGCCCACCCCGCTCCGGCCGCGCTCGCCCTCCCTCTGGCTGCGCGCCCCGCCCTGGTCGGCGCCCCGCGCGCTCCAGCCTCCGCCGCGGCGGGCGCCGCTCACCCACCTTGAGGACCTGCTGCTTGATGAGCGTGGGCACCACCACGATCATGACGGCGCCCAGCACGGCGCACAGCAGCCCGGCGAAGCCCAGCACCGCGGCCGCCCAGCGCGCTCTGGCGCGGCTGCCCATGTCTGCGCGCCCCGGCTCCCGCCCTGCGCTCGCGCGGCTCTGCCTGCGCCCTGGGGCGACGGGGACCGGGACGCGGGGGACGCGGGCCGCAGGGACGGCGGGGCACCACCTGGGCCGCGGCGCACGGAGGAGCGGCCCGCCAGGTGGCCGGCGGCTTTATGAGCCATCGCCGCGCCGCCGGACCGCCCCCGGACGCCCTGGGCTCGGGGATTCGGGCGCGCGCCTGCGGGGGCGGGGCGGGCCGGGGCGGGCCGGGGCGGGGCCGGGGCGGGGCGCCGATCGGACGGTCCGGGGACACGCCCCGCGGGGGCAGTCTCGGGCCCCACGCCCTCGCTTCCGTTTCCGCGGGAGGCGGCGGGAGAGCCTCGGGTTCCGCGTGCAGGGGTGGCGGCGGCGCTGGGCTCCCCCGGTGCCTCTCCGCCCCCCGCCCCCGCTCCCCCTCCTCCGCGTCCCTGCTCCTGCTGCTCCCATCACCTGCTCCCCCTCCCCTGCTGCCCTCCCTCGTCCCGCGGCTCCCCTGACCCTCCTGCTTCCCCCTCCTTCGCCCCCCCCTCCCCTCCTCCTCTCCCACTTCCTCTGTCAGGGCCAGCGTCATTGATCACACTTCGTGGGAGTTTCCCAATTCACCAGAAACACCAGAGCCCCCACCCCCAGCTCTGCCACCGCGCTCTCCTCCCCCAAGCCCCCAGCCTCACACCCACCCTTGTAGCCCGCCTCTCGCTGAGCCGGCCCTGCAGACTCCCGCCTCGCCTCAGGGCCTGATACACCGCCCCCCACGCCCCCCCCCCCCCCCCGCTTGACACTCTGTTCCCCCAGATATCTGCCTGGCTCCTTCCTTCATGACTGCTCTGCCACCTTATCAGAAAGGCCTTCCCCTGCCACCTTGTGTAGAACAAAATAGCGCCAGCTCTCCCAGTCTGCCCCTCACCCTTATCGCTGAGCACCACCTGGCATGTTACACATTCATTTGTTCTTTGCATTCTGACCATCCCCCCCCCCCCCAACTAGAAAGCTGGGGGCAGAGGCTTTGTCTGGGACACTGCCCGCCAGGTAATGCTTACTCACAATAAGCACTTTAGAATGAACCCATGCAGAGCCTTCCAGATGCTGAGCCCTGTGCTAAGTGCGGTGCACAGAATGGCTCCATTCTACAGAGGAGGAAGTAGTACAGAGAGGTTAGGGAACAGACCTCAGTCTCTGCTTTCTAATGAAGAGGGAGACAGATGATGAGCAACTGAGCAAATGAGCGATGGATAATTGCAGACATCAAGTGCTCCAAGAAAATAAAACAGGTGGGCATGTGCTCCCCTGCAGTCCTCTGCAGCCCCCACCTGGCCTGCCTCCTAGTCCCTGCAGCCTGCCCCCCACTCCACACCTGACAGTTCCCGGAGCCCCGATGGAGGCCAAGCCTCTCATTCCCGAGACAGGACTACTGAAAGGACAAGGGACTGGTCCCAGAGTTACACGGAGTGGGAGGCAGTGTCCTCGACACCTGGCTAAGGCAGGCCAGTCCCTGGTGGCACAGAAGGAGGCCTTCGGAAACTCTCATCCAGCCCTGGAAGAAAGCAACACGGCCTGGCCTGAGTCAGTATTTACTGAGTACCCACTGCATACCGACCAGAGAGCCTTGCCTGGCACTCTTCCCCTCAGGAGACCTGACCTTGCCCAGGGTGTGTGCAGGAGGGGCCTAACCCCTGACCTGGATCGGGGTGCCAGGGCAGGGCTGTGGTGTCAGAGGGAAACAAGTCTCAGGAAACCGGTGCTTTAGGGTTTCCTGAGGCAGAGTCCCGGGGCAAGCCGCTTGGCTAGCTCTTGGCCTCAGTTTTCTCACTTGTGGGGTGGAGACAATAAGAGCCTTTCTCTAAGGGTTGTTGTGAGGATTAACTGCATCCTTGGAACATCGTGGCAGTGCTTAGATCAGTTTCCCCAACGGGTGAGCACAGCTGAGCCCTGTGTTGTCCCAAGGCCTGCGCGACCGGGCTCCTGCCCACCTTTCTACCCCACCTCCCAGACCCTCCACTCGTTCACTGTACTCCCAGCCTCCTGGGCTCTCTTTCTGCTCCTTGAACAGCCCCATCTTTCTCCTGCCACAGGGCCTTTGCATTTGCTGTACCTTGTGCCTAGAACACTCTTCCCCCAGACCCTCCCACAGCTCACTCCTCCTCTAGGCTTCAGTTCAAAGTCCACTCCTCAGAGAGGCCTTCGCTATTCCGTATCCAAAATGGGAACCCCAACCCACCAGTCACTGCATCAAATCCACCCCATTTTATCTGAACGTGTCTTGTTTATTCACTTTTGTCTCCCCCGGCTCCTAAGCCAGAAGCTGGTCTGGCTTTGCTAACGGCTGTATCCCCAGCACCTGCGACAATGCCTAGCACATGTTACATACACACTGAAGACTTGAAGTGACCGATTGATTAGCTCACTTAAGGCATTGATCAATCAGGTAGCTTCGAGGAAGAATGAACTTAGTTCGTTGAATTCCCCAAGGTCTTCAACGGCCATCGGCTGTGGGGATTGTCTTATTTCATTGACTTTGGGGTTCTTGAGACTAACCAGTGAACTACAACATGGGGTCGGCCCTGGCCGGATGCCTCCCCTTTCCTTGACACCCATCCTCCCTCATAGAGGCTCATTCGCCTTGACCAACTCACCCAATGTAACTTTTACTTATTACAAGCTTTTCAAGGTCCCAATGTGCGTGGTGCTTACCCAAGAGAGCCTCAAGGACGTGGCAGGAGTGCCCTCGCGGCAGGCCTGGCCTGTCCCCTGACAAGAGACACGGGTGGAGATGAAAGGCTGCCTGCGACACGTGACCAGCCGTGATCTCACCCAAGGGAGTCACTTCCGATGGGGGGGCGTCACGGCGACGAGGGTGCCACCTAAGAAGCCGGAGAAAGGGCTTCGTCATGCTCCAGAGAGCGAGGCCTTGCGGGGATAAGGAAAGCCGACAAAAACGCAGAAGGAAAAGAAGGATGAATCAGAGTAAGATAGTTTCCACGCGGATGCCAGAGGGACCCTGTAGAAACCAAGTCCAGTGACGTTCAGTCTCAGCTCAGACGTCCCCCCCAACCCTTGATCTAAGGACAGATAGTGAGTATTGGCAGAACTGTGGGGACACCAGAACCCTCCGATGCCACCGGTGAGATTGTAGATTTGCGGCCACCGTGGAAAGCATCGTTCAGAAGGCCAAACGCAGACTTAACATAAGACAGCTGGGACACCTGAGTGACTCAGTGGTTAAGCATTTGCCTTTGGTTCAGGGCGTGATCCCGGGGTCCTGAGAGTGAGTCCTGTATTGGGCTTCCCACAGGGAGCCTGCTTCTCCCTCTGCTATGTCTCGCTCTCTCTGCCTCTCATGAATAAATAAATAAATAAAATATTTAAAAAATAATAATAACACGCAGCTGCTCCAGTCTGGGGTACATACATGAGAAATGAGAACCACGTCCACACAAAAACTCATGCACCCAGGATCTTTACAGTCCTAGGTTCAGCAGCTAAAAAGTGGAGGCAGCCACATGTCCCTCAGCTGACCAACAGGCGAATGAAATATGGACTATCACACAATGGAACATTATTTGGCACCAGAAGGGAAAAAGTACAGATACATACCACAGTGTGGATGAACTTTGAAAACATTACCCTGAGGGACGCCTGGGTGGCTCAGTGGTTGAGCATCTGCCTTCGGCTCAGGGCTTGATCCTGGAGACCCGGGATCGAGTTCCGCATCGGGATCCCCGCAGGGTCATGGGATGGAGCCCTGCATCAGGCTCTGCACTCAGCAGGGAATCTGCTTGAAGATTCTCTCCCTCTGTCCCTCCCTTTTCTCAAATAAATAAGTACGTTTTTTTTTTTTAAAGAAAAGATCACATAGTGTATGATTCCATTTATTGGAAATGTCCAGAAAAGGCAAATCCACAAGATCAAAAGCAGATCAGTGGTGGCCTGGCTTGGGGCAGGACGGGGGAGAGATGGGGAGAATCAGGAGCAAAGGTGTACAAGGCTTCTCTTTGGTGTGATGAAGATGTCCCCATTGTGGTTACACGACCCCGTGAATAGGCTAAAATCCAGTGAATTGTAGCCATTAAATGAGTGCATTATATGCTATATGAACTACCTGTCAGTAAAGTTGCATTGAAAAAAATCACAACTTTCCTACAGCTCCCCCCTTGCTCAGAGTACAAGCCGAAGTCCTCACCACAGCCTCCCCACAGCCCGCCATCATCCCCTTGACCTCGTGTCCCCTCTCCATCCTGTCCCACCTGCTTTACCTCCTGGGTGTTCCTCAAACCTGTCGCCTCTGCTTCTGCTTCAGGGCCTTTGCACTTACCAGTCCCTTTACTCTTCTCTCAAACACCCCATGGAGCTCCCCCTCCCTCCCTTCAAGTTCTTGCTTAAAGGTCGTCTCAGGGAGAACTTCCTTCCTATGCACTCTTTTTAAATTACAAACCACACCCCACAATACTCCCTATCTCCCTTCCCTGCTTTACTTTTTCTGCATGGTGCTTATCACCTCCAGCACACTACATAATGCATTGGCTCTCCTTCTAGAATGGAAAAGCTCCATAAAGGCAGGAATCTGTCTATTTAGCCCATGACTATGTCCCCAATTCCTAGAACAGTGCCTGGCATACAGTAGGTCCTTAACATGTTTTTTTTTTTTAAATTTTTTATTTATTTATTTATGATAGTCACAGAGAGAGAGAGAGGCAGAGACACAGGCAGAGGGAGAAGCAGGCTCCATGCACCGGGAGCCCGATGTGGGATTCGATCCCGGGTCTCCAGGATCGCGCCCTGGGCCAAAGGCAGGAGCCAAACCGCTGCGCCACCCAGGGATCCCTCCTTAACATGTTTTGATGAACAATGGCTAGCAGAGCTCAGTGGTTAAAAATCTGCCTTTGCAGTCAGGCTGCATTAGCTGGGGTGACCTCTGGCAAGTCGTTTCCACTCTCTGTACTCTAGCCTCCTTCCCTGTGCAATAGGGATGATTTCATCTGTGCCCACCTCCGGGGGTAGTCCTGGAGATAAGTGAGATACTGCTGATTACATACTTAGCAAGGTGCCAGCGTTAGATGGAATCATCACTCTATGCAGGCAGCCACATGCTGTCTGCCCCACCCCAGCCCAGCAAGACTCAGTACTACCCTCGGGGGCACCGAATCAGATGTAC